TATCCAGCACCAATTCCCGAAAAACCTACATTTTTCGGATTTCTAAGACCACACAACCTAACAACAATTACTCCAGACGCAAATAGTAAACCATTGTACCTGCTTAATGACGACCAACTGAGGGCCCTCGTTTCCGAACGTGCTAAGTATCTCGTGGCCCAAACAGACGGCCAAAAGGTCAACAGGAGCACCCAGACATATGTTACCCAGGTGGGTAAACAGCACACCGTGGGGTGCATAAACTGCAGGTCAGCAGAGCATCATTACGTCAAGTGTCCTCTGCCCCTGCGTCCTGGATTCTGTCACTTGTGTGGAGCCCCAGGCTTAGATTCAGAGGACTGCCCATACCCACATGGCGTGGAACACGAGAGAGCCTTGGNTAAGTATCCTCTGCCCCTGCGTCCTGGATTCTGTCACTTGTGTGGAGCCTCAGGCTTTGATTCAGAGGACTGCCCATACCCACATGGCGTGGAACACGAGAGAGCCTTGGAACGATGCTCAGGTTGCTCTCGTGATCTTCAATTATACTGTCCTGAGTGCCCGGAATGCAACGTTCGTTGGGCTGGATATGTCGACTGGCAACGTTTGAACTATGCCACCTGGCCAACCTGGCTAATACCATCAGACCATCGCATCATGGTTGGAGAGGGTCAATTGATGCTGAAAAAGTCAATTAAGATCAAGTTCGATGATCCAGTGGACACCCCTAACAACCTTCAATGATTCCTAATCAGAGAGAATGCTTTGTCGACAGCCAAAGCGATTGGAAATCGCAGTATTCCAACACCTAGCCAATTGTCCGAGGAGAAAAGACAACTGGCCATCAAGGCACTCCAGACCCCTATAGCTGAGAAGCATCTCGACGACATCATAAGGGAACGTCCAGAGTTAAAGGTTGGGGGGGGGGGGAGGGAAGTACAGAGTTCTCATTCCTACCAAATATAAGAAACCTTCAAACTGAAAGTTAAATGGAAAATTTATCACAAACAAATGTCATTCGTTTTAATTATCCATTCGCTTATTGTTTTTTCATTTACTTATTGTTCATTTTCGTTTTCTTAGAATCCATTCACCAGCTCAAGTAAAAAGACAGATCGTGTAAAAGTGTCATTTAGAGCTTCTATTTTTGATATAAGCTAAGGATTCTGTTTATATTCATTTTCGTTTTTTATTTTCTTTTACTTCGACATTGTGACTCAATTATCACGAGCACTCTTGCTTTCGGATGAAATTATCGAGAAAGCCCAATCAAACCAAAGTATTTTGTCGACAACTCTTCTTGGAAAATAAATTTTCTATGTTTCTGTAACTTGTAAACCCATACCAACTTCATTCGAGCCTGTATTCCCATACTTAACAGACAGAGAGAAATGAGAAATTTAATTTTGGTTCTTATATCCAACAGCCTCCATGGTAACTCAATAATCTCTAGAACATCAGGGCAGGAAGTTGCAGAAAAAGTTTTTCCGCCGACGTGAAGGTCAAATGGGGGAGATTGTAACAGGAGGTATTATTTTCCCTTCACGTCGACGACATTTTATACCCTCGGGAATCTTATAGGGTTAATTTATTTATTTTATATTTGAATTTCATATTCAAAATAGGCGCAACAGCCACCAGTCGACATTGACGGCGCTTGCGCCCAAAACTATCGATTAGCTGCCACGCAACAGGCTGCTTAGGGCCCCGCAGGACACTCTTGCCCCGGCAGTACACACGTGTACATTATATTTTCTTGTGGTTTTTGTTTTCATTGTATCGAGTCGTTTTCGTATTGTTTCATTGTGTTAATTATTGTGTGGAAAGAGTCGATTCCCGAGGTATTTATTTCTAAATATATTTTGTGAATTGTCGACATAGAACGTGAGTAATTTTATTGCATATTCCTGCCTATATTTCTCCTTTCTCTCTCTCTGTCGAATTTATTACTTTAATCGAGTATTTATTATCTAAATAAAAGGCCTGTCTCATAATCATATTTGCCGTTAGAGGGACGGTGGCGATATACAGTAGTATATATATATATATATATATATATATATATATATATATATATAT